TTTTCTTAATTAACCAACTGGGGCCCCTACACCACATTATTAAATTTCTTAATTGAAGTGGGCAAATGCCACGTGAGAAGACATCCGCCGGGTTGTCAGCAGTACGCACGTGATGCTATTGTGCAATGGATGTGAGCTCGTGTATTTCTCCTTCTCTGTGGGCCACAAACGTTTTCCACCTAGTTGACGGCGATGCTATCCATGAAAGTACCACTGTAGAATCGGACCAATTAAAATAATTAGAAATATTTAATCATAAACTGCGCCCATACTTATTTGCTAAACGTACACACGGCTGCTANTTGTCCATACTTATTTGCTAAACGTACACACGGCTGCTAACAGTTCGAGTCGCGGCAGTGACACGGTTTTGAGTGGGGCGATGCGAACAGATTAAATTTAAAAAACACTGACCATCGTTTTTTACTACCCGTAAGTGACGCATCCGCGAACCCGTGTACCTTAATCTCGCTTTTACTGCCGTCACCGACTACTCGCCTTGGTATTATTAATGTGTTTATTACACATAATTTTTCACGGCTTTCTTACCACTCGCGTTCTATATTTTTGAGTACCTTATTATCCCATCCGATTTTTAATTGCCATAACCTTTGAATTAAAATTTTAAATCTAATGACTACTGGATTTATTAGTCCCGACGGATCGAAAATTGCCGCTATTTCAGCCAGAATAGAACGCTTTGTAATTGAAACATCTTTATTGTATTCAATGAATCAAAATAAAAGTTTCGAGATAACTCGAGAAACTTCTAGAATACACTTTACGCATAAATATTATCAATTTTAATTACTATTCCGACCGACAATTATTTTATTACTCTTTACAAATACATCGTTCATTTGGAACGATGTTTACATTAATGTCCATATTTTTTAATTACCATTAGCGTATCTGTGGCGCCGAATAGACGGCAAGATTAAATAGTTAAATCTTTAAGACAAACTAGCCTCCCTTCATTACCTTACCAACTACTTTAAATATAAAAATGCTAGTAAAATTAGCACGGGCGCTCTTTTCACTATTTACACTATTTTTTATACTTTTAATCTTTTTCTCTCTCGTACAGTCTCTCACTTGCATACTCTCAATTTCATTCCCATTTATTATTACCCCATAATCTTACATTTTCATATTAAAAGTTTTATAAAATTCACGTTACTTTTGTTAATTTTAATTATAAGACTTATATACATTTGTTAAAATAATTAATAAAAGTCATAGAAATAAACTCAGTATGTTACCTCTCATATCTGTATTTTTTATTTATTTTAATTAACTTAAAATATCGACGTCAACAAGGAACATCACAATTCACCATCTACCTAAGAGTCCATTTGGATATCAAGGTAAGTGTAGTCTTAAGACATACTCTATATTCATGTAATATTAAGAAATGGGTCAGAGTGGGTAAGAGATTGGATTAAGATGTTATGAATGAATCTAATACAATCCAAATAACTTATACTCCCTTTCCTACCATCATCACTACATCTTTACCATCCCTCTCTTCCCCTATCATTTCCCCTTTGCTATTTATTACAAAGTGGTGACCAACTCGTGGTTTCGAATCTACTTCCCAAATACCGAGATCATTACAATATTTTTATTCAATGTTCCTAATTTTTGTAATATAATATACATTACAAATGTCAGATTTAACGAAACAAAATCTTATATCAGTAGTAAAATATATGATCGGCATAGTAACTTTTCAAATAAAAAACAGAACAATTTCAACTCATCATCATTTAATGATATATCTAGCAGATATACTTTGGGTTTTTACTCTTCGCCTTAACATAAACGTACAAAATGCCTTACTTATTCAAAAATTTATAAACACCTTTATAAGACTTACAGAAAGTATTATTTTAACTCATCTCACATTAATACTAGATTATTTATTTAAACACTCATCATATCAAATTTCAAAAATTTTATTTAAAGACGAAAATATTTCACCCGTAAATCCTGATACAGTAAAAAAATAATTTTATCTCCAATAATTTGCTTAAATAAAAAAAAAAATTTATACAACTTTTATTTTTATTACTATCATTTTTTTTTTTTTTTTTTTAACAATACTTAATTATAAAACTGTGTCAGATTAATTCCAATTTAATTTATTACAAAAATTATATTCATATATTTATTTGTATTAATTAATATAAAAAATGGAAGAACCCTCTACTGATTCAGATAAAATTGTTCAATACACTCAAAATTTAGCTTTGTGGATAAAAAAAGCCCTATATAATTTAATAGTAGAAGAATTAACTAAAAGAAAATTAAGAATCGACGGTTCAATAACTATTTTTAAAGATAGATTCCAACGTTTCCTTTTAGGCGAGTTTATAGAATCTGATTTTGAAGTTAACCATCGACCTCCCAAAAGCATGAATTAACGAATTCCATTTTGTCAACATGACAAATTTTCTGGCGCGATTCACGAAAGCGTGGATGCCTTTTTAACTAAGTATAACAGAACTAGAGATATTAATAATTGGTCACCCGATCAAAAGAAATCATTCTTAGCTATTTATTTAACTGATACTGCTCTAATATTTTATGAAAATTATGAAAGGGAGAACCCCTCAGTAAAATGGCCTGACCTAGAAAACGTCATGCGTATTGAATTTAAACCCACTACATAAAATCACATGCTTAGAATTATGCTCTCTGAACGTAAACAACTCCTAGATGAGTCCATTGCCTCTTTTATTAATAACACCGAAAAATTATGTAAGCGAGTAGATCCTAAAATGTCACAATCCGAGTTAGTATAATAATATAATGAAATGTTTACATCCAAAAATAGCTCGATATGTCGGTATATTAGACAACAATAGTTTAAAAGATTTAAAAGCTAATATAAGAAAATACGAATCCGTTGAATTTATGTTACAAGGGGATACTATACAATCGAAAGAGGACATAAAACAGCGAATAACTAGCGAAAATATTTATCAAATCGGTGAGCAAAATAAAATGCAACAACAGTTAGATAATATAATTTCACAAATTTCTAAACTTCAGTTTTTTATCACTAAAAACAATAATGATAACACCGACAACAGCAAACGTTTATTTAATGGCACGCGGCAAGAATACTATAATACGCGTCGAAACAACAACAATTTACGTTCGGGAAATAATTATTTACGTCCAATATTTTATTCACGCCAAAATTATAACGATACTCGCCCAAATAATTATCAACAAAATAATACGCAATATGCTAATAGAAATTACATAATTATAATTATAGTCCCAGAAATACATATGAGCGAAAGAATAATTGTATATATTGTAATCGTAATAATCACAAATCGGAAAATTGCAACTTGATCTGTGATTTATGTAATAAACGATATCATACAAGGGAGAATTGTTATCTCAACAAAAATTCCAACTACCGAAAAAACACGCGCCAAGGTCAAATGTAATAATTGGAGATTATATGCATTCACCTTCTTCTCCAATTCCAAATAAAAGTACTAACACTGACACAAACAACATTTTTATAATTTGAAATCGCGATAGAAAAGCTAATGCATTATATATTTTAGCTAAATTAAATAACGAACCAATAGAAGTCACAATAGATTCAGGTGCAAATATAAATTGTATAGGACCTGACCTCATAGATTCATCTAATATAAATAAAAATCACAATTATAAATTATCCGGTGCAGATAAATCACCATTAAATTTATTGGGAACAACCACAATTAAATTAGAAACAGAAAATAAATTTTATCAAATTCCAGTGTGCGTTATAGAAAATTTAAGTAGTACAATTATATTAGGTAATGAATTTTCATCTCAACATAACGCAAATATAAATTATGCTAAAAAAGTGTTATTTTTAAATGAAATCAAAACCCCTATAATAAGTAGTAAATTTAAAAACACAATAGAAAATATAAAAAAAAACATGCATCATATAAAAAGCACTAATTGTTGTATACAAAATAACAATATCAAAGAAACATTTATAGATATTATAAATATTCCCAATAATTACACCATAGCTTTTTGCACATTTACTGACCTAAAATATAAATCTAAAATATTTGAAAATGTTACTAATAAATTTGGTAATATAACGGATTTGCTAAAAAATACTAACATATATATATAGGTCAAGTAAACACAATAATATCTGATAAAATAATACACTTATTAATAACAAAAGAGTTTTGCAATTTTCAGGCTTCATACCTAGATCTCTACGAAAGTCTCTTTAATCTAAAAAATATTGCTTCAGAACAAAAGTTTCCTGTCATAGCATTTTCTTCCGTAGATTTAATTTGTGATGGCCTATATTGGGACACAATCAAAGACATGATATTTGAAATATTCCAAAATCAACCGATAGATATATTAATCTGTTACCCTATACTTTCAATACCTAAACACAATAATGGCATTATATCTAACGTGCAATGTTCCATAAAAAACATTAAGAAAAACATTAATTCTATTATTAATGATACTTCTACATCAAAATTTATGAATGTGTTTTCACAATATCAATTAGGGGAAGATGTTCCTTCTGACGGACGATGTGGAATTTTTGCGTTAATAAATTCTTTGAACTCATATGGAAACCAAATAACAAATTTAGTTAAAATATGTAAATTATTAGATCTGGAAGAACTACCTAACTACTGGTGGCATGACGATCAATTAAAAACGTTATCAATTTTTTATGGCTTTGATTTGTATATCTATATAAAACATTCCAAATTAGGATATGTATATGGTCCTGGCAATAGGCAATTAATAGTTCTTTACCTCGTAAATGAAGGTACACACTGGATACCGGTATACTAAAGAAAAACAATAAAAGCATTTGTAAAATCCTCACTAATATTATACATACTACTAATTTTATATCTTTAGAATCAGTTAAACAAGACATTAAAATATATATAACGCAAAATAAGACTCAAAAGCTAGATGTTAACACAATTCTAGACACAATATCCATATAATGATAGTACAACTGTAAATCTGCCATCTGTTAAGCGACGAGCATTTAATTCATAATGTTTCATACACATTTTCTCCTCTAATGTATAAGGAGCTTTAGCATGAACCTCCTCCAGTCTCCAAAACTGTTCCATTTGGTCTTCAAGCTCACTAATTTTTGCCAGTTCGGTTGTCGTTACCGCCGACATACAGCGCTCTTGCCTGTCTAATGCAGTTGCTGGAACCGGACCGACGATCACCCATCCGAGATGTGTATTTTGTAACACTGGGCCGATATCCATTGGTTTACCATGGATAACCCAACCATGCTTTATCAAATCAAAGAATATTTCGGCGCCCAAAATTAAATCGATGCAATTTGGGCTATTAAATGACGGATCAGCCAGTATTGTTTCCTTAGGCGTATTTAATAAAGCAGTGCTGATTGGTCTAGCTGGCAAATTACTTGTTAATTTTGGTAAAATAAAAAAATCCAATAAGAGCGAGTATTTAGATACACGCGATTCCACAGTAGCCGAAATTAAATGTGATGACGTATAAGAAGCGGCATTAATGCCTTCGATAACGCATAATGTTTTTCGCCGCTTTAATCTCAAACACTGTGCTACCGACTCGGTCATAAAATTATGTTGCGTGCCACTATCTAATAATGACAAAAGAGGCCGCCGCTGATAATCATAAATTATTACTGTAGCCGTTGATAAAAGAATCGATGATTGACCTGACGCGTATGTGTATGAAACGAAGACGAAGTTGACGGTGTATTATTGTTTACATTTTTTCCCATTTTATGTTCACTTTGATCACCTTGCTTATCTTCCCACGGAATATGTAATAAACTATTATGCGATTGCGAACATTTAAGACACCGCCGTTGTGTACATCGTTCGACTGCATGCACTCGTAAACAAATTTTACAGAGATTTAAATCAGCTATCTTTTTAATTCTCTCTCTCACACTTAGACTTAAAAGTGTCGAACATTTATACACTGTATGCGCTTGTTTACAAATAAAACATAGTTCACTTGTAACTGCAAATCCGTTAGACCTATAAAATTTGTTTCTTGCTATAGGCCGTTTAAACTCTTTTTCCTGTTTTCCCATATTAACAGCCTCTAAAATTCGAAAACGAGGTTTCAAAAACTTTAAAAGAGTCTGTGCTTCTAGTTCTTCTTCTTCCGCAGAAAATACTTCCCATTTCCTCACTGAAGTTGGGTCTAGCTTCGATAAAATTAAATGTATTCAAATCGCTCCGCGCTGTTGGGGCCTTTGACCTAATGTTTCTAACGCATTTATATGATTGACAATTGTGTCAGTTAACGTACGTAACGCAGAACCCGATTCTCTTTTTAATGGCTCCAAATCAAACAGGGCGCGCACATGAACTTGAATTAGCACTATGCGGTTGTTATAGCGCTCTGTTAGCCTACTCCATGCTATTTTATATTGCGCCGCAGTGGTTTCCAAACTATGTATTNTCGCAGTGGTTTCTAAACTATGTATTACCTTGGCTGCCTCTCCTGTTAGAGATAATGGCAGATAAAAAAACCGCTGTACGTCTGATAAGGCCGTGTTTTCATGCACAATTGCTTTAAATATTCCTTCAAACGCGGACCACTCGGTATACTCGCCAGAAAACTGCGGTATAGAAAGTGGCGCTAATTTTATCGCCGTTTCAATAGGCCCTTCTAGTGGCTCCCATAGTCAACCCGTGGGAAGACTATCTCCCCCCACAGAGGTGTCCAAAGTGCTACCACCTGAGTAGTATATTTTTCTTTTTACTAACACAATAGCCTGATGGCAGATTAGCTGATTATGGCTGATTATTAAATATAATTTTCTAACACAATAAGCATCATCTAGAAAATTCTTTCGCGGGGGCGGCGATGGTGGTGATGACGATAGTATGCGTTGTTACATACATGACGTCACAACTATTCTTGATAAAACGTTTTATATACTAGTTGTGGACCGTTGTGTGTTAATTTAATTATCATGAATATGATAACAGTGTTTTTAAATTATTATTATTATTATTAGAGATTTTTAAAACGAATTGATTGAAAATTGTTAAATACGTATGTATTTCACTGGGTTTTTGGTGATGTTTTGAGTAAAAATTATTATTACCTGATAATAATAATTTATTATATTATTGAATACCTGTGTAGCCTATTGAAGTCAATAGAATTAAATCAAATGATGTTGACGTTTTTTTTCATTGTCAAACTCATTGTTTGGATACTAAAAGAAATCAACGGTTATAGTTAGGTATAGAAATACTCTAATATTTATAACATATAATAAAATATAATATATATATAATTTTTCTGTATTTTGGGTAGGTTGACAGCATAGAGTACTTCATCAAATTCTGTTGTCTGTAGGTATTAGAGCAGTAAAATCATGTACCTAGTCCGGGGGTAGGTATTCTAGTGTCCTATTTGCCTTTTTACATTCATGCACACAGAGAGGTTTTCTGAAAGTATACATGACGATGAAGATATCTTGGGATATCGTATTTTCAATAATAATATGATATATTATATTAAAAAAATTATTATTATTATTATTATTATTATTATTATTTGAAAATGTTATCCTATAGACCTATGTTTTGTGTTAACAAACGGTAGGATAGCTAAAAAGGTATGACCCTCGATGACCATGTCTTTAGTTCCATACACAGACGACGTATTTGAAATAGTCTTTTCTTCCCTACCGATCGTGGGAATTAACCCTCCAGGGTACCATGGATTAATCTATTTCTTGAAAATTTTACTGAATTATGTATTATTCAGTCTAGACATATAATATTTTTCTTCTCACGTGTTAAAGCATTTTGTTTAGTAAAACTAGTAAATCCAATAATGATAATAATGGTTATGTGTGTGTGTATGTGTATACTCATCTTATTCTTGCTAAATCATATAAAAACGCAGCATCCTATGGTTTTTGTATCATTTAGTTGGTTCACGATTTAGGTGTTTTATAACAACTACATTTTCTTTACAACATCACGAAAAAGATATTAAGAATAATATCATCATGACTAACGTAAGTGTTAATTTTATTAACTTATTAAAAAATATATGATAAAAAAATTATTACTATTTTTTTAGAATACACCAGAATACGGTGGCGAGGAGTTTTTTAATATTTTAAATAATATTAGATATGAACCTCGTGAAAACAACTCCCCAATTTACCGAGATGTTTTCGGTAACTTAATGGTTAACCCAGACAACGAATTAGGAATTCAACTGTCGTTTAGTGAATACGGTGCAATAGTGAGTATTATTTTAAAAAAATGTATAAAATTAATGTAATAAATTAAATATTTAAAATTAATTATAGACACAGAACTCAAATGATTCAATCTATTTCTTCGATTCAATCACGAATCATAGACCAATAATTGAATCACGTGATACGGTGAGCAATGATGACGATGAACATATCACCTCCTCGAGTTCGGATATGTTCCCTGAGCTTATACAGGGGGAGATAATAAACGAACCGGTATTTTCTGATATAGGTAAGTTAATTAAATATAATGATAAATTAATAAAATTTTGTGTTAAACTAAATATTTGCTTTATTACTATTATAGTTTCGGTTAGGGAGATTAATCTGTGTAATCACACCGATTCTCTCCTAGACCGTGCACCACCACCACATATTCATTCGTTGTCGGAATTTGATGAACCAATTGCCCACTCGACTCAAAACATCCCCCCTGAACTTGTTCACAATGATATGATAAATGGTAAGGTACTTAAATATATGAAACAATTATGTCTTAAATTAGATTTAATATTTATTATTATTATTATTATTTTACAATAGCCCCGATTGAGACTAATCTATGGAGTAATGACAATGACTCCCACACAAATTCATTGCTCATACATGCTGCAGAAATAGGGGAATTATTTGATTTAATGTATTTTTAATATATATATATATATANGAACAATGGAAAAAAAAATCAAGCTCTCTGATTGGGCAGAAGACAAAGCAGTAGAGACTGTTGTACAATACATATTATTGTGCAAATATTTTACAATAATATTGTATAATTCCTCTATCAGTTACAAAAATTATCAATGATATTAAATTAGTGACACTATTATATTTTAAATACTTGAACGATAATTAATTATAACTGTTCGCATACTTATTTGTTTAAATAACGTTTAGTCTTAATAAAAATGTTTTTTTTTTAAATATTGTCTGACATTATGAATATTGTGTTTAATTTGTATAAAAGTTGACATTTTGTGTAGTTTATTATTTCATAAATTTTTTTCAACGTTTAGTTAGTTTTACCTATAATATATGAAGCTGTAATTTTTGGTAAAACTGTTAATAGTATTATATTTTTTATAAAATTTGAATTGTTTTAGGTATAATAAATAATAATATATAATAAATTATATATTTTTATTATTATTATTATTATTATTGTTAGCCATTTTTTGGCCAAGTTGTACCCATTTACACCGTGAAGACAAAATAAAGTCCGAAATTTTTTTTTCCCAAAATTAAGTATGTTACATTAGCTTTGATTTAATATATATATATATAATCGTCAGTATTTCCGGAACACTTTCAAAAGTTAATTTTTTGTAAAAAAGTTGTCATTTTGAATTCCCTACTGTAGGCTGGTAAAGGGTTAAATTTATAAATAGATATACCAAATGATAGGTAAAGACATCAAACATCTATATAAAAATTTCATTTTTGAAAAAGTTATGGTAGTGTTAAGAAAAAAATGTCAAAAATTACTGATTTTTAAAATTGTAATTATTTTGGAAGTAAGTGCACAAAATCTTTTACTTTAATGCAAAATTTAAAACGTCATGAGAAAACCCACACTGGTATCCGTCACCCATGTTTAATTTGTCAAGCAGATTTTAAGTATCCAGGAGATCTAAAAAAACATTTTAACAAACACAGTGAGTAACTTTCTGGATCATTTTATTTAAAAAATTATACTAAATCATATACGATGATATGTATATATATATATTTTTTTTTTTCAGTTGTTAATAATAAAAAAANTTTTTTTTTTCAGTTGTTAATAATAAAAAAAATGAAATTCTATTAAGAGATCAACAACAGGAACAACTTCGACCAAGTGTTATAACCCATACATCAAATTACAATAATAATCACCGATATATACCCTCGACTTCTACATATCAAGGTAATTTAATACAAAATTAAGTTCTAAATACTGCAATATAATATATTTAATTTAGTATAGTATAACTATTAATATAGTTAATTTAGACTCGTATAAAAATCGTGGAACTCACTGGGTAGCTATAAAAAAATATTTTAAAAAAGCATACTACTATGAT